GACACTGACACACTTCTTTAATTTTAGGTTTGTTTTGGTTGCTATGCCTTGACTTTGGTCCGGCATAGTACACAGCCACCGGTGTGAACCGAATATAACTCACAAAACGTAACAATAATAATAATAATAATAATAATAATATTTTATTCTCAACAAGAAAATTTGCAAGATCACGCAAAATGATTTCGTTTAGTATTTATCTTGTAAATTTTTTAATGGAAATTCATTTAGATAAATTAAATGAAAATTAAGAATTTTCTCATTAAAATTTCACTATTCCAATTATTTTATAGAAAACTATTTCTTAGAATATTTTTCAAAATCAAGAATTTGAATCATAAAAATAAGAACAATACAGTAAAGTTTTAAAGAATATAATAATAATAATATCAACATTCACTTGATAATAAGCAGAACTGTTACACATATCACTAGATTTTTAATTATTATAGAGATTTTTTGCAAATGCTTATAAAGATTATTATAATTAACCTTGAAAAAAATTAATGCTTAGTAAATTTTCCAACAGTATTTGTAACTTGTAATTATATTATTATTATTATTTTATCATAAATTATATAACTTATAAATAATACTACTGAAATTAGTATTATTGTAATTTTAATTAATCTTTTCATATTAATTTCATTTCAATTTTAAAATAAAATTTTCTACTTTTCATTTGTATTGTCATTTTTATAAAATTACATAATGTTAATGCTAAGTTTACTAATGATTAACAGACAGACTTGGCTTTGTCTAAGTTAAAAAGCAAGTAAACAGTTAATATAGTTATGGAAACTTAATATCAATGAAAACTATATAGATAATATAGTTTCCATTGATTACTATAAACACACAAGAATTGTCTAAATAATTTTATATATTTGTAAATTCACTGATGATATATTTAAAAAATAATTATAATAAAAAGCAACTGTCTGAATAAACAGAGTCATATTATAATGAACACATACATGAAGATTCAACCACTTCTAACCCATTTCTAAGCTTCTAGAAGGATGACACAGCTGCATTGCCAAACATTATATTCTCAAAAAGTTTTCTGTTAAGAACAAATACCCCTCATTCAGAAAATAGGTTTGATCCTTTGTTACTGTTAATATTTATACAATTGCATTAATTTGCAGTGAGAGCAAGATTTGTCAACGAGGAATTACATTCAAAATGACAGTAAAATATCTATTCCTGACTTGAATTTCATTAAAACAAACTTCTTAAATAAAATTAGAATGAAACAAAAGTTACATTAAACTACAGAACCCTTGATTTTGACAGCAAGGAACATATTAAAATAATTATTTTTTGAAAATTGATTTTGGTTGTCATTTATATTTTTATTTTTGAATATATTAATTAATAAATTAATAAAAGCTTAATATAAATAAAATCTTCATAATACAGTATATGAAAAAACTAAAACTGCAATAAAACAGAAGTTTATAAGATGACTAATTTGACAGAAACAACAAAAATATAGCAAATCATGTAAAGTGATATAAGATTTGAATTGAATTAAATCATTAACATTAATAATTATTAATTTTTTCACTTTTAAAGTAATGCACATTAACCATAGAAACATTGAATCACAATTTCAATTCCTATTTTTAATTTCTTTTCTATATAAACAAAATTTTAATGACTAAATTATTTTATTTGTAATAGTTTCTAAACTTAATATAAATTAATTCCAAGAAAAATTATTTATATTTATCATGCTAATTCATTATTTAATATATTTAACTATAGTTAATTAAACAAAAAATATTATGAACTAATTAAATATATTCTTACTTAATTCCAATATCCTTTAAATCTTTATCAGTCAATGTTAGAAATGTGTCGAGATCAATGTCTTGATCTTCAAAAACATGATAATATTTTGAAAGATCTAACCTTTCTAATAATGAAGAAAGGGAATGTTGATAAGATGTTGATAAAAGATCTAAAAATTCAAATTTTAAAATTTATTTATTACATTAAATTACTTTCTTAATAATTTATTATTGTTATATATATGTCAAAAAAAATTATTCAAAAGATTTATCAATATCACACTAGTTACACATTCTTAAGATTTATAAAAACAATTTTTTGTTTGAATATCTGATAGAATCATATTAATGTTCCTGTTCTGGGGATTTTTTCACAAGCTTCATTTGGTGAACTATCAATCCAACTCATCTGCAATTTGATCTTTAGTCCATCACAAATAGTTTACAAGGGTATCCCAGGATTGACAGCTTTGTCCACAGGAGAGTTTCCTGCTTTTATCTTTCTCTCTCTTTACCATTAGACTATTCTTTCAACACAATTGACAGAGTACGATAATCAACATACAATCAAATCTTGGTTTTTGAATGACTCACTTTTTCAAACAAATCGGTTCAAAAACAAAAGGTCAAACTCATATTTGTCCTTGTTGCCAAACAGGCTATTTGGCAAGCCAATCACAGATTAGTGAGACACAGATAGTCACCTCCTTGTACTTGCGATGTTAAAGAAAGTCAACAACCCGACCAATCAACGACAGGACTATCAATTCAGAAGTTAGTGGTGCTGAGATTGCCTCATGTCATTAGACATGACAAATCATTGATGATGCTGCTATTTAAATTAATTTCAATGCGCATATGGGAAAGATATTACTTCCATTTTTTTTCATATGCATTGCAGTTGAATTTAAATCAAATTAATAAATAAAAACCATGTTAACTGACATTCACATAACATAAATGACATTCAAAAATTTATGTTTAAAGATACTTAAGTCAAATTAAATAACAAAATTTATTAGTATAATATTATAATATTAATATTTATTAATATCATATATTATATGTAATATTACATTGCATTTGTAGGCCTTTTTGTGTGTGAAATAGTTAAAATGGTAAAAAAAAGGCGTTATTTTGGGATCAGGAATGGATTAATCCAATTTATATTGTTTCTTATGGAAAAATTTGTTTCAGTTTTAGAACAAATCAGTTTTTGAACAACTTTTAAGAATGAATTATGTTCAAAAACTGAGGTGTGACTGTATTCTTCACAGGTCAAAGTTGCATTTAATGCAACATAATTCTCTTTTTATCTGTTTCTATGATTCCACAGAAATCAAAGTCTCAATTACCTGACTCTCCCAAATTCCTGAGTCATAATAAGCCAATCCCACAATTAGAATTTTTATAATTATAGTAAAACTAGATGTGCCTGACATTGCCAGAGCAAAAGTAATAAGTATAAGCAAATAAATTAAAACTATATTAAAAGTTTGGTTGTTTTAGGCCAACTCAAATCAATAGTGTTAATCCAGTATAATCCAGAAAACTCTATACTTTTTGAATCTAAGAATATAATTCATGGACTGCTTATACCTTCATTAGACTATATTTTCTGCAAGATCGTAGAGAGTAACTCTAAAAAATTAAAAATTTGATCCAAATCAGCCAAAGAGTTTAGAAGTTAACAAAGGAACAAAATCAGAGAGAGAGAGAGAGAGACAAACATATAATTGTAATTTTTGTTGTAATGATGACAGTTTCACAGTTTTAGAATAAAAAGTCATTTTTTTAATGCACCCTCTAAAGAGAGATGTGTAACCTCACTTAAACTGGCATGCCTGCATTCCCCAGGATAAACCAGCACGCCGGCTTTTACTGTATGGAAATATCTGATTTCGTGGTCTTCCCAGATAAACCAGCATGCTGGTCATTCTGTGAAAATACGATAATGAACTGCTTAAACATGCTTTTAATGTGATTTTATAAATTTATAAAATTTTTCAATTTTTGTTATGGAGAATTCTTTTTAATTTGGAATAATTAAGTTTATACACATTTCTTGACTTTATTATTAANAATGCTTGTCTTTCTGTTGCAAGTGTCATCTCAATTAATTTTCTTAAATCTTTTTCTTGATTTAATTGAGAAGTTAGCTAAGATTTACAAATAAATAATAAATTAATATAAACATTTTAAAATAATTTATTAAGTAATTACATTTATATATTATAATTTTCATATAAAAAACATTTTCATCAATTCGAATAATATAATTCTAACAGCCTGCTATTTATATAATATTGATCAAACTGTTATGCATCATAAATACTGACCAGATAATAAATTATTAAATTAAAAATAAAAACTTATATATCAGAAGGCATTCTATAAAAATTATACAATGTTTATAGCCTATTACAAAAAAATTATAACTAAAAATTTAATAATAATAAAAATAGTTAAATTTGTTGTTTTTGTTTTTATTATAAAAATTTTCAAGAACTTACAGACCAAACAGCACAAAAATGTTAATTATAAGATAAGTAAAATACAGATTTTGACACTTATTATGCTCAGAATATAATAATGTTTTTACATATAAATTAAATGTTACAGATGAAATTAAAAACAGATTGGACATATCTGTTATATTCTAAACATTTTATTACTTTCCCAGCTGTTATATAAAACAGAAGGAAAGTATGACATTTGGTCAAAAATGGCCACCCAAGGTCCTGAGTCCAAAAGAGTAATGGACTCAGAACCTTGAAACATTGAGAAATACAAAGGAATTGGGATTTTTCTTGTATGTTAGGTGTGGGGCACAATTTTGTTCACCCAATTTGAAGCTTAATAATTCCTGTGTCTTTTGTCAAAAATTTCTAAAATTCTGCAGGGTGGATTCTGTATTAGGGGATGGATGCTATTAAATTTTGGTGATTAAAGGTTGACAAGGTGGGAAGATAAAGAGGATTGTGTGTCATATCTCAAGTAAGGTCTGACTTAATGACAATTTTACTCATTATTAGCATTTACAATTTTTTATAAAACCCATACCTACCCTCAAAATTAAATTTTGCCATTTTATAATAATTAAAAATATAAAAAGTTATTTTTAATAAAATATCATAACAGATGGCACCATCAAATGTTGCCAGAAAAGATAATCTACTCATTGTGGATTTTTTAACAATACTTTTTAAAAGAAGATATATAGATTTATTGTATTAAATTTTCTATATAAATAAAAATATATCATTTAAATTCATATAAGAAAGAACTACACAAAAATAATAGTATTTGATTAAAATTTTTTTTGTGCATTCAAATATACAGTAATGACATTTATAATATTAAAAACTAACTTTAGTTTTATAAAAAGCTTGAAAGAGTATATAAAATATAATGTGTAGCAACAATTTTGGCATATTTTTCTTAAAGATAGCTGATAAGCTAGATTAATATTTATATTCTTTGAATAGATTCAATGAAAAGTAACATAACAGGTATTCATTTAAAAATTTATTTAAAAATATATTTTAATATGGATTCATAAATAGATACTTTAATATCTAGATTGCAATTGATACTTAGAAACATTAATGAAATTATTTTAATTTACCTCTTCTATTTTTCTGTTTTGTTCTTCTTTATCAACCAGTAATTTATTTGTAAATGCATGCTCTAAAGGATTGCCAATAACAGATGCATTTTCATGCCATCGAGTTATTGCAGTTGTCATTTTTCGACGAGGACCTAATAATCTAAAACAAAAATAAAAAATAAAAAATAAAAATAAAAATAATAATAAAAATAATTACTAAGCATAAACAACATCATCCTAAATCCGCTATAGAAAGATTAACCCTTCCATGTAAAGATGGCAGACGTGGCCTGATTGACATTGTAAACCTTCACTACAAACAAATACAGTCACTGCAAGAGTTTTTCTACAGGAAACAAGAAACATCATAATTACATAAAGCAGTAACTCTAGCAGACTCAAATAGCACACCATTAA